GACTTTCTGCCAAACTCATAGTGTTTCCTTAAACATGTTCTCTTATTTGAACTAAATTCTTCTTATTATTGTTTTAATAGTTGTGCCATACAAGTGTAGGGAGCACATCCATGTGTATAAATACTATGAAAACATAAATAAATGTCCCAATCGTAATTTTTCTTTTACTTCAGTGATCATGAGTAACAAGAAATAAAGATAAAATTTTGAATATCTGAATAGTTTAATCGTCATGGGTATATGTTTGTTAAGGATAGGTGAATGGCAATCTTGTCATTTAAAAACACTCTCATCGGCAAACAGGTGATTTTATTTTGTCTAGGCCTATGTTATTGTGTATAATGAAACTTTTCTTTCACCAAATTTCCTTAGAAAATTTCATGTTGCTCATAAAAAGCTCTTAGACAAAACCTCCATTAAGACAGAAGACATTAATTTTAGGTAAAGAGGAATCGATAAAATATAAATTATGTCTTATTATCTCCTTGATTCTTTAGTTGTGATTCTACAAAGATATGTTCATCGTTACATCCACCTTCCTTTTGTTTAACAGATGTGTTACTTAAAGAAAGACAAGGTGGAGACTTCAGGAATCTTAATGCTAGTGATAACAACAATGCATATGATTTTGATACATACTTGCAACACTGTGAAAGATTTTTCTTAGAAACCTTACATAGTTATTAACTGACAGCTGTATACAATGCTAATCTACCACTGAGCCTGTCTCCAGATGCTTTATTTGAATAAAGTTAACAAGAATTAGACCAAAGATCTTGTTTCTAACTTTTTATTTTATGATTCATCTCTTTCTTTGTGTTACAAATGAGAATTTTATATGGAAATAACTAATTTCTATGACAAGATTAGGGTATTTGTGCAACTTGTTCTCAATGACATGAGATGATTGAAAAAGCAAAATACAAAATAGAAAGGTGAAGCAACATTTATATCCAGTATATGCAAAGTCACATACAAAAGTTGATGTTTTCTAGACTTTTAGATATTTTTCACTTAGACGTGCATTAGGAATAGCATTCCATGCCATTAAATCTTCTAAACCTAATTTTAACAGTTTTATCATTCAGTCTACAGATGCACCATACCTTTTCTTTTAAACCAATTCCCTAACAGAAAACACTTATGTTTTCCTTTTTTTGTTGATACTGGATAGCGTTTTGTAATGAAAAGACTTTTAGGTAAATCTCCTCCGTACATGGCATAGGCTCATACAATTTAATCTTCATTGCAACATGTGGTCACAGTTTACCTAGATACGTGAGACCAAAGTGACATAGTGGACAGCGCTCAGTTATTTTACTCTTCCATACTAAGGTCCGGCAGAACTTTCCTTTTTAAAGTGACCTTATCTAATAAGGGTGAGTGTAAAAAAATAGCCAGCAAAACATCTCAAAAGAACTTAACATTCAACAATTTAGTATTCATTCCGTTGGCCAGTGTTTTCAAGAGTAATTTATCATTTTGGTGTGCACAACTAACATTTTCTAAAATGAAATACAATAACATAGAATGGAATATTATATATCAGCATGCATCACAAGAAACGTGAATTTGAAAAATGTTATTTCAGTTTTGTGTGAGGTACCTGTGGATAAGCAAAAGAGANCGTGAATTTGAAAAATGTTATTTCAGTTTTGTGTGAGGTACCTGTGGATAAGCAAAAGAGAAAGAGAGAAGAAAGGTTGTGAAATATGTTTTTAAGTAAATTAAAATTTAAAAAAATGAAAGTCAATGTTGCAGATGATAGGAAGCCATTGAGGAATTTTATATGTGGAAGTGACCAGTGCGCAGATGCATTTCTCACAGGAAAGTCTTTCTCAGTACAGAGGTTAGATTTGGAGATAAAGGAATGAAAAACCATACAACAAGCTTTTAAAATTGTGTGGCAAAGAATCGGCACTACACAAATGTGGGCAGTGGTGATGAAGATGAAGTGAAAGGAACAGGAGTGAAAGGTATTTCAAAATAATTGACAGAAACAGATGACTGATTTGAAAGAACAGCAAGTAATGGATAATGACTCCAAATGTCTTTGGCCCAAGCAACGGTGTGGGTGGTGGCACCATTAAATGGGATAAGGAGCACAGGAAGAGGAGCAGGGTTTGTTTTGTTTTGTTGTTTTCTTTGTTTCGTTTTGTGGGGGGCAGATTTTGACATTATGAGCTTTCATCTCTGAAAAAAATACACACTGGATTTGGTGAATATTTCATTATTTGTGATGCTGACAATTTTCAAATAGTTCTAGAGATAATTTCAGTTGTACCAGATTGAGGAATGATGGGTAAGAAAGTAGAAGCAGTGTTTACAATCTACCTATAAAAAGTTTGATGTTGAAGGGCAAGTGATAGAGGAGTTAGATATAATTTCTTCATTTGTTCACATATATTTAAATATATATTGTGTGGCTACAATGCCCTGATCTTTTTCTAGCTAGATAATATGATCTCCCCCTGCCTGCAAGGTCAATATCTTTCAAATGCATAACTTACATGTGCTGGAGCCAGTACTAAAATGTCATCTAATATGCTTTTTCTATTCCACAGAGGTTTCTTTTGTCCAAATTAAACCAATCATAAGAGGGGAAAAATTCGAATGTCAGGCAGAAGACTATATCCATATATGAAAAGAATTGAAAAGCATAAGACATTCCATTATCTATTTATTCATTCTCTTGTGTCAAATTTAAGATTTTTTTTTTTTAAATGGACAAATAACACTGTGTCCCTGATGCAGGCTAATATGCAAAATATTCTCTTATTGTTATATATTCATTAAAGTATTCATCCATCATCTGGTATATAGAATCCCTCAATGAATACTTGTTTATAATTTAGAGACTACATTTCAAATAAAACGTTTTAGTGCTGACATTATAAACACATATTTGGGACTTTGTAATTATGAAAATATTTTTTTGGAATTTTAAGTATAATCTGTCTTTATTATGTAGATATAGTTTTACCATGTGGTGTTTACTATTTTACACCTGTAGGGAATTTAAATAACTTATCCCTGAAGGGTAATATGCTTATTCAAAGGTGTAAAACTATTCTAATCTGGATGGTCAAGAAAGAGAATCAAAAGCCTTTTCTGCAATATAGAGTATTTTGGAACCTACTTAAGAAAGAGAATGACCAATCCAGGTAGACAAGACTTGAGTTTATTTATATGATTCATATCTCCCTTTTTGAAAGGACATTTACAAACTTGATTTCAAAAATAAAAGAAATTCTGAATGACAAATGTTCATGTTTTAATTCCAATATTACAGGTATGTTCTTTTATGATAAATTATCAGTTGAAAATGTTCCAGTAAATCTGGCATCAATTAATTTAACACTTTATATAAGAAATAATAAAACATTTATTTTCAAGTCTTACATATATTACTTAAAATAGATACAAAATTCAGTTCGTAATTTTAAAATTTTACTGCTATTTCAAGCTACTTGAAAGAAAATACCTTAGTGGAAAAGAAATGTTTTGATTGCCTTGAATAAGTATGACTTTTAAAACAAGTACCATTAGTAACAGTCCACCCATAAGTTTTTTAGCAATTAGGTAGGTCAAATAATTTATGAAATTATTTTGAAAGGAAAGAAATATTTGTTGGGCAAGTAAAATAATATTGAAACTATTATAATATGCAACTTAGAATGAAATTCAAGAAATTGATTAAAAAATCTAGCATTGCACAAATTCATAAATAATTGCTTAATTTCCATATTTAATATTAATCTGCATTTTTGAAGCACAATGAAAACAATGAGATGAGATGAGTTTGAGAAAAATTGTACATATGATTGTTTGCTTAATGGAGGCATCAATTTGTTAAAATAGTTTTTTCATACATATTTTCTTGTTCAAAAATATAAACTTGCTTGTTTTCCATATATACAAGAAGTATTCTGTGAAATCCTGGATTCTGAGAAGAAAAAGTTTGAGGTATAGCACTGAATAATGCATCAAAATGCATAATATTTTTGGCTGAAATTCAGCAAAATTACTGTCAGCAGAGAAGAGTTGATCGAAGTGTGCTTCTGAAAGTCTTCCAGGTTTTTGCCCTCT